ACAAACTAATTCACTTTCAGATTAATAATGTTAGGTAGTAGGAATATATTATCATAAAAAAAACATAATTTAATCAATCAATACATGACAACGCCGCTAATCGTAAAAGTCTAATACACATTGAAAGTGTGCTAATATTCTTCTGCTGTAAGAAGATCGGTTGTCATGATTATGATGACAGATTGAATGTTTTTTTATTATAAATGTTATTGTAGTGCAAATCTACATTTTTTGATATTTATTACCTTTGGTATACTCGCATACTTAGCATGCGGCTTATATGATGGTAAGTGACTACCGCCGACCAAGAACACCTGCAACACTAGAAATATATTTTCTTTTATATATAATAATAGATAATTACGTTCTTAATAGAAACTATTATATTATAGGCTTGCTTAATAAAAAAATAGAAGAGCGCATAATATTCATATTCGTATTAGCAATAGATCAAACGAGAAGTATGAATTGTAATGTCCTAAACGTTGGTAATGCACAAAATGTTAAAAAAACTTTAATAGGTTTATTTCTAAATGTCTTTAAATAACACGCTTTGTGGACAGCACTGTATATCTACAAACGAACGTATTTTGAGATATAATTGCGGCTTTGAAAAGGTACGTCTTTTCAAAGTCATGATTCACACTCGGTCTGTGTACATTTCTAAACAGACATTTATTTAGTTTTGTTTACTATAAATATTTGGGGAATGTGTTTATAATAACGTATCATTACCCGCATCAAAATAGAGATGGTGACTGTATTGATCTTCAATACAAAAATATCTCATAAAAATACCTTTTACAAGAAATTCTCTAGTCATTATTAATAGTGACAGATATGAAATCTATTCATTACTTTCTAAGATTTTTTTAATCTAAGATTTTTCCAAAATAATGAACATGTGTTTTAATATGAATAGCACCGTACACGCTGAGATATCTGTGGTAGTGTTGTTATTTCTAAGATTCAACGTGTTTTGTCTTTACGCCTAGTAATTTTACTACCATACGTCCATCAAACCGAAATATACTTCGGCAAACAACTATGTTGTTTGCCGTTGTTTGACGACAAGTACAAGTGCAACTGAGGTCCACAGGTAGACAACATTTGGACAATACTTTATCTAAAATAATTCATTATCTAAAATAGACAGCTAGGGATGTTCTCTTCTAGTAATCTGTCTTGTTATAGAGTAAGAACACACGGGTATACGACCCTAGCCACCTAAGCTGCTGCAGTTTCTGATCAGAGTCCTTACCGCATCTGCAGTGCCCCCTTTCCTTGTTGTAGGGCATCGGTGGTTGTTGGTAATGAGATTTAATTGTAGTTTGTAGGGAAGGAGGCTTAAAATTCAATCAACAGTCGATATTAAATGACAGAAATGAAATAACTATTGTATTATAACTAGTCTGGCCATAAATAATGTTAGGTACATAAAAACTTTTCTGTTTTTCAACATTTTAATTACTTTGAATTTGAAACACGTTTATTATTTTAAAAACTTTTTTCGATAGGATTGCAGTGATTGCCTTGCACAAAGTGGGTACGGAGCCGTCGGTTATATTCCAGACACTTCAAAAGCTTAGTATCAGCCGTATTTTCGTATATTGTACTATCAACAGACACAACAACACTTCCTCTGTCGAAAACCAGTAAAGATCGGGGCGGCCACGTGCTATTAGAACTACAAAGGCTGTTAATGCTGTTAAAGCCAGAATGCGTCGAAACCTCATTAGGAAGCAAAAAATCTTATCGCAAGAAATGAAGATTTCCGCTAGGACTCTGTTGCGTATTATAAAACAAGACCTGAATCTCGGTGCTTATCGTTGATATACAGATATGAATGAAGATTTCAGAAATGAATGAAGAATATGCCTTAAATCAATCTTTAAAATTAAAGAGAGTGGATCGATCAAAACGCATTCTGTCGCGATATGCAGGTGAAAGGCACAGAAATATCCTCTTTACCGATGAAAAAAATTTCACGATTGAAGAACACTACAACAAGCAAAATTAGAAAGTGTACGCTCACAGTTCTAAAGAAGCTGCTCAAGTGGTTGAAAAGGCACAACGTGATCATCATCCTCCGTCAGTAATGGTTTAGTGGGACGTGTCTTATCAAGGAGTTACAAAACTACATTTCTGTGAAAAAGGAGTGAAAACTTTAGCCAAAGTGTATCAAGATACAATCTTGGATCGTGTTGTGAAACCTCTTAGCAATACACTTTTTAAAAATATACCGTGGACTTTTTAGCAGGACCCTACATCTGGTCACAAGGTACGAACTACCCAAGCCTGGCTTGAAACCAACGTTCCGGTTCTCTTTATAAGAACTGAAGACTGGCCATCATCTAGGCCAGATCTCAACCCTTTAGACTTCAAATTATGGTCAGTTTTAAAGGACATTCTTTAAACGACACGGCGATACTGAATCTCCTAAAATATCTTTTGAGCAAGCAGTGGCGAAATTTCTGTTAGAAACAGTGCGTAAATCTATAGATTTGTGGCCAGACAGATTAAAGGCCTGTATAAAAGCCAAAGGTGACAATTTTGAATACAATATTTTTTTATTTTTTGTTGAGACTAATAAATTTGTAGGTGTACATTTTAGTAATATTATATTACTTTATAAAAAAAAATGCATTTTCATTTGTAACAGAACTTATAGCTGTACTAGGTAATTTAACAAAAAAATATTTGATTAAATCTGTCTATAATTAATTACGAAATAGTTAAATTGTAAGGGTCGTGTATTGTAACAGTTCGGTAGCTCGTTGTCTTTATTCACCAATTTACTTACATTCGAGCTTCGCCCCGCGGGTCGTAAAGTAATATTATCCGTTGGGCGAGGGCAATAGTGCCTCTTTTACGGGCCACGAGCGCGTCACATGGGAAATTATTTGACGTGGCGTTTAATGGATTTTTGCCTTCATAACACGCTATCTACAGGCAAATAAAAATACCCGTACTGCATACAATAAAATATTGCCGAAAAATTTGCTGTTTTAATGAATTTTATTATAGATATTTAAATTTTAATGTTACTCTTGTAGATTTTTAACACCGTCAGTTACAATCTTGAAATACTACTAATATTTTAAATATATATAAAAAATATATGAGGAATTCAAATAAAAACAATAGAAGGCAAAACAACAGTTTTTAAACATTTATTTATGTGTTTATAATATATTGAAATATTTTCGCGTTAGTTCCATTTTCGTTTCACTCGACGAAATTAAAGGTCTGATAAAAATGTATTGCTAAATAAACAAATACATGTTTATTTATTTATTTAATAAGGTTCACATACAACTTTTATATTTTACATGCAACTTAATAACACAAAAAATAATTTTGCCTAATGTAAAAGTCTTTTATACGCGAACACCACATGCACTATTATAATATTTAATAAATCATTAACAATAACAATAAGATTATCTGAATAATAAGTAGATTAAGAACTTATGTCTAAGATTTTCCGCAATAAGCTATATCTGCTGTTTGTGGGTCCAAAATTGATGTCAATTTGATCGCTGTGAGCATTCAGAATCCTACATAATCCTGGGTACAGGCGAGTTGGCTCTTAACATTGTACATGTAGTAATATAAATAAAAAAAGTAATAAAAATAGTATTATTAGCTATTTTTTTTTTTCAAATCATATTTTTTTAAGATTTAAAAAAAATATGATTTGAAATTCTAAGAGTATATATATATATATATATATATATATATATATATATATATATATATATCTCGATATTAGAAAAGTGCAACAAAATGTTTTGCCTATTTTTGATTAACGTTAATAATCAACAAACACATTTGCAAATTAATAAGATATTAATCAAATAAGAATACGAATAATCTCCCATTGACGCGAGCACGGCCATATCATTCTTTTCTCGAAGCAACTAATGGCACTTTTGAGCCGTAACTTCATTGTGGATAAAGCGCGAAATTTTAATTTTTAGTGATTAAGAGGACATCCTACAACTAGCTATATTGCCAATATATCTAATAATTATACCTTGTAGTTTATGAATTATGGCTAGTTAAAGTACTTTTAGCAATCTCACTAATTTCAAATTTTGAATTTTAGTTAGCGTATACCTTATACAGGTAGTAAAAAGAAATGAAAAATCCTAAACTTTCATTATTAATTTTCATTAAATGATTAAAAAAATTTTAACGAATGAAATATATATATATATATATATATATATATATATATATATATATATATATATATATATATATATATATATAACTGAGGCATTGATGGACGAATGTATAAATGTGGGCCGAGGCGTTGCCGAGGCACACATACGTGAGTACATCAATGCCTAGTTGTGGCCAAGGCTTGTATAGTACTTTTCTCAAACAATGCGCGGAAAATAAAAATACAATTTTACTTTTTAAGTTCAATGACAAATAACGAACAATAATAATTTTTTACGCGCCATAATGTTTCTTTGTTTTTTTTTTCAATAAACAGCTTTCTATTTGCAAACCAGTTCGAAATTTAAATAAAACCTTTTATTAGTTACCTCCTTGGTAGCCATGTTTTGAAGTAGAAGGTCATTCCATTTTTAAATTACTGGACAGATATGAGTTTACATAGAAATTTATTATTTGGCCGCAAAACACGACAGATATGGATTTTCATACAACTTTTGCCGGCCGCTGCCCGCTTGTATTTGGCCAGTACGGCAATTTTGATTTATCTCGAAGAAGATTGTTAAAATAATGCTCACATTTCCAAGCATGTTTGAGAAAAGTGGCAGGAAAGCTATATATATATATATATATATATATATATATATATATATATATATATATATATATATACATGTTTGGCCGAGAGAAGTTAAACTTCATCTATTTACCTATAGTTCGATAGGCTTTTAATAACATAAATAATATATTTTTATATTCATGCTACGTCTTGCTAAAATCTATTTTTACTGATGACAAAATTTTTTTGATAGATTGCGGCGTGAGAAGCTTAGAGTTGCTGGAGCTGCGTGTACCGGCGCACGTGCCTCTCGGCACTCGTGCGCAGCTCTCCTGCCACTGGCGACTCAGTCCCACTGACGTGCTCTACTCTGTTAAGTGGTATAAGGATGGCAAGGAGTTCTTCCGTCACGTACCTCGAGATATCGAACCCTGCAGGAAGTTTCCTCTACCTGGCGTTGATGTCGTAGTAAGTGTCATCATTATTTATCATCGTCATCATATCGGCAATTCAACACGCATTCATTGTTTATTGACAAAGAAAATTATACGGAACTACGTAAATTAGAGAAATTTCGTAACAACGTTACAATAATAGTAACAGTAATGACAGAAAAGAAGAAAATTTCTAGATATAATCGTATAATAAGCTGCTTGCCTAGCGTGGTAGTATTAGGTTAAATCCTTCTATCCTAGCAAGACGTGTCCAGCATTGGTTGTAATGCTATTAAAGGCCATTGTCTCTAATGATTTTTACAACAGCAAAGACGAATAATACCTATTATCAATAATAATAGAATTAAAGTTCACCATAAGTGACTCATGTTGCGTAGGTGAACAGATCCAAGTCGATAATATCACAAACTGCAATGAACTTCTAGCTAGCAAACAGTGTAATTGGATTAATCCGTGAGTCAAGTTTGCTCAGGTCTCACCGAGTGGAAACAATATACTAAAACTCGACCGGATATTACTGTGTCGAGGGCCGCAGGTGTAAACACTACTCTCTGCCGGCTACTTTATATTTGCCACTTCAAATATTCCTCAGTTATATTTTTCTTTCTTATGTTTTTTTTTTATTTGTATATTTATATGCCTGCAATTTCCACCGCATAGTAGTGGGAATTCTTTTAATTGGATAAATTATTACATTATAATGTAATTTAATTAAGATCTCTGTATTTTGTGCGATTTTACATATTGCACAGTGTAAGTTATAACTCACTATCATATAAAGCTATTCTAATAAAACATAGATACGTAATATTTTAGAATATGTTAATAGTATTTTTTTTAGTTTTTGACTCTGGAATAAATCAATAGATCGATATTCAGAAAATTAACGATGTGGATTATTCGCAAAAAAGTAAATGTATTATAGTATAGATAGATGAAACAGTTTCATACTATGATTTATTATAATTTAAACACCCACCACACCGGATAGTGATTAGCCAGGTGTGTTACATATTTATAAAGGTGAATAAATAAATATCTTGGTTCTGTTTAGGGTTCCACAATTTAATGGTCAAAGTAATGTTTTAATAATTTCGGCATTTTTGTAAGGACCTCTGGCACATCATAATTTTTGCAATGTATGTATCTTTACGAAGATACACCAACATCGATCCTTAACAACATCAATTCTCGTAGATAAATAAAATATTTACAGATTTTTTGGATTCGAATATTCGGGTGAAAAAGAAAACTTTTGTTAAAGAGATCCAAAATACTGATATTTCGGTTTTGGATTATCGGTGTACTTTTTGAAACTTTGCTAAGTTATTATTTATTAAATACATACATATTACCGGAAATTTGTTATAGAACTAACAAATCCCGTTAATTAGTGGTATTATATTGGTACTGTTCACGTCTTTATTTTAATTTACTATATAACAGTCTGTTAGTAGTAGTCTTCATTTAATATTTTGATAATTAATAAGATTATTGTTATTGTACATAAATATAATTTCTGACGCTAATTTTCTGTAATTTTCTGTATTCATTAGTTTTATATTTCAAATGTAAGTAATTTAATTTTGTAAGATGTTCGTCAGCACTTTTAATTATAACATTCAATTACGAGACTTAAATAGATAAAAGAATAAACATTAAAATAAAAAATAAATAAGGCTCTATTCTATCTTTTGTTCAGTTACTGAAATATCTGCAGATATATTTTCTATAAATCATGCAATCATCAATGCAATAATAATTAATTTACGAGAGGGAGGCTTTGTACAGAAGTCGTTTGCTTGGGCACCTGTGTCCCATTCGTGTTTCTATCGTGAAGTAGTTGTGTTTGCATGGCTGCGATTCATTTTGAAGTTTGGGATATGGCAGTGAACTTACAGGGTATAGAGGAATAACACCTGAGTCCTCAGGTATGGCAACGCATGGGTGTATCATGGGTGAATCAGTATACTCTGTTATGTCCATAGTACTGCTCATATTTATAGGCGATGGTTACCACTTTCCATCACATGGGCCGTCAGCTTATTTGCCATTCTAAGTTGTATAAAAAATAACTTAAACATCTTGATGATACTAAAGATCTTGACGAAACTAGTACATCTCCACCTATCATCTTTATCTATGCATCTATTTCCTATACTTTTGTGTTGCAGAGTTATGATTGCTTATTATCATCATAAGTCTCAGTTTTCTTTTTGATGGGTGAAAATGGTATGGTAACCCCGTCTGCGCTAACGGGATACGCTGGCGAAGCACCAGTAAAGGGTGATAGATGAGAATGAAAACAGGCCAGTTAGCTCATCATGATGAATTCATCATGAATTAACCATGATAGTTTTCAGGGAGAACCGTGAGAAGGTCGACCTGGTTGGGTATATTGCTAGCAATGTGATTCTCAGTCTCCATTACTAACTATCCCTTTTCCCCTCATAAGTCTTAGTTAAGATGACTACATACTATGAATTCCATGTACGACTATCACAATCGATTGTTTCTTTATTCTTCGAAATTCTTTCATTGTGTCTTAAAATATCAAAGGTTATTTTCGGAAGTTATTTTCTAAAAAAATTAATTAAAAGTAAAAAATTCTTTGATAAATACCTACTTTTATGTATTCTTTACATTATTTTAAGGAGATATAAAATAAAGGTACGTAAGGAACCATTGTGTGATCCTATATATACCTACCAAGAATAATGTATATCCGACAATTTTTATTTTTATTTTTTTATTTCACTTCATTTTTACATCTAGATTCGTAATATTTTCGGTTCAGATAATATGTATTTGAACTCTCTAAAGTCTATCTATAAAAAAGACGTAAGATGGAGCTACGTAAAATGCTATAGTAAATGGACTTAACATCGCTATTTGAAATGTAATCCGCAACTTCCTGTTTTAAGCTCTATTTTAAAATTTTATTGTGCTATTTTTAGTTTGTTTTTTATCATTCATCTGATTAGCAGACAGCTGATTCTATAATATTATATTTATTTGGTAGATATATGGATTTCAGATTGACAAAAGGTTACCTTTTTCAATATAGTAAATATTAATGGTATCTTGCTGTGTACTAAATTGTACACAAATATTACAGTCGTTAAACTAATTGATTATGATAAGTAACTAATCTAACAATATTTACTACATTTTACTTTTATGTTATTAGTATATAAATAAATATATACTGTCGCTATCATAATCACTGTATATTAATAGAATAGAATAGAATAGAATAGAAATCATTTATTCAAATAAATCTAACAATATTTATTACATTTTTTTTAATTTACTCGTTTATGTCTCATCATTAGTATATAAATAATTTTATATATACTGTGTGAATACAAACCACCAATTAGCACTAATTCAATTAAATATCAAAAAGAAAAAAAAATTGTATATTAATATGTGTGTTAATGCTTAAAGCAACAGCGACATTAATTTTATCTAATAATATATAAATTATCAAAAACATACTTATTATATTTTCTACAAATTTGACTTAACAATACCTACAGATTCTTAGTTTATTTTTATTTCATATTATATAAATATGTGTGTTAGATAGACACACAATAATATATAAATTATCAAAAACATACTTATTATATTTTCTACAAAAGATTACAAATAGATTCTTAGTTTATTTTTATTATTATATTATAAATACACAACAATTACAAGAAATAATAAACACATAAGTTATATAAAACACAAAATAAATTTTTAGATATCTGAAGAAATAAGTATGCTAACTTGACAAATAAACAAATTAAGAAGATTACTTACTTACTCAAAAATCCTTTAGTTTTGTTTTAAAACTCGGCATAACATTTTATATTTTGTACAGAAACTGGTAAACTATTCCATAGCCGTACAGCTTGCATCGTGAACGATTTGTCGTAAAAACTAGAAAAATGTACTGAAGTTTTTAGCTGGAGGCCCTCAAAAGACTTTAGATTAAAAGAATTGATAGAATGCAGAAAATCAAATCGCTCCTGATAGCGAGGGGAAGAAGAGTTAGAAATGATATTGTTGAGCAGTGAAAGAATGTGAGTATTCCGGCTTACTTACATTCACGTATATACTTACATTGTTCTAAAATAAATAATCTATATATTCTATGAGTTCGTAGAAAAGCAATTATTGAATTTCTAACAATTTGTTCTTCTATATTGAAAGATTTTCATAAGCATAATATGATATACTGTGTTATAATGCTTATCTCAGATGTATAACTATTTTTATGGTGGTATAATATTCTTAGTATAAAAATAAGAAAACAAAACATATCTTTTTTTGTTTTTCTTACGCTCAAGAAAAAAGAGATATAAAAAGGAGGATGAAAGGAAATATTATGTTAATGACTGGTATCTTGAACAAGTCGTGTCAAAGAAGACTAACGTTTTGTTGTTCATATCTACACCATTCTTTATCTATGTTTATATCTTAATATTTTGTGTTTGCTTAGAAATAATATGTGATGTGTTATCCATATCCAAGTCATTCGTTACAAACATTATTATCAAACGTAAATATGCAAATAGCTTAAAATTTGTGAACAAAGGATCAAAACAGAGCGAATTTCCAAAAGGAGAAGGGGCGTTGCAGCATTATAAATGATCTTATATTTAAATATGATTGTGACTACCTAATGTTTTTGTTTTGATATAATTTAATAGATAAAAATATATTAACATCATTGCCTACACAAATATTCCTTATTTAATCTCGTGTCTAAAATGTGTGATAATATTTGATTTGATTAACATGGACACATGAAATTAATGTAAACTAGTTTTACTAGTCATAGACAATGGAGTCAATTGTGAAGTGTCTTTTCTCTATACCTATCTCTTAATCTAATGTTTTAATTTAATATTTACACTAAATTACTGTTTTACGAATCATCATATCATAATCTGCACACATACATTACATAGTCGCATCTTACGACACCCACGGGAAAGGAAGGGGTGGCCTATTCTATGCCGAGACCACACAACAATGGTTTAAATTAATATTTAGTCTAAATTACTCGTATATTCCGTACAGAGGATTTAAGTATTAATATTATTTAGGTTAATCAAGTTTAGTGGTCATATTTTTACTACTTTACTAAAATATTTGTTATTAATTTAGTAGAAATGTTAATTCACCGCTATAAAAAATATCCTATGTCTTTCTCCATTTCTAATATTAGATATATACCAATTTTCATGACGAATATGACGAACAGTTGAGCAACAAATAAATGGCTAATAGATAACAAACATACACAAGAGCAAATAATTTGCTAGCTAATATAATTAATCAAAATAATATATATATATATATATATATATATATATATATATATATATATATATATATATATATATATATATATATATATATATATATATATATATTATTTGTTTTTATTAGTTTAATTGCTAACAGGCTATATAAGAATGTAACTAGTAGAAATAAGGACTATTAATTACTTTAACAATTATTATTTCCATTACAAGGCTATTTTTTTACAATCAGCCTAAAGGTTATAAAAGGAAAATGAAATACTATCTACATATTTTCAATTTTATGATTCTCTGTTTAATAAAATGTGGTGGGTAGATTACTTTCGTAATAATATCTTGTTTCAATGTCAATTTTTTACTTCTTTTTAAGGAGAGCTGAGAAATAAAATTATATTTTAGATTATGGTTTGTTCCAAGATTTTTTTATACCACAAAGATGGCAAATAAGCATACAGCCCGTCTGATAGTTAATGTTCACTGTAGGTAGCCTATGGACGACTGCAACACTAGGAGTGTCACGTGCACGTTACCAACTTTGAAGAAACCTTAATATATCTAGTACTGTTAATGCATGACAATCTAATTAAGAATACATCCAGTAGATAATAATGGTAGACAGCAGAGATTAAGAAGTTGAGCTAATGACTCCATAGCCGGTAAATATTTTTAAGGCATTTTTATTCATAAAATTCATACATTTATAAACGTTTCTTTGTTGCAAATTTATTATAAATTTAATATGCCATATATAAGATCTTATTTGGAGTCTGGTTAAATTTTAAGTTCACATTTCTTACATAACAAATATATGAATAAAAAGTTAGAGGTTTGATAAAAATAATACTCTGTTAATAAATGGTTTTGATAATAAAATTTCCTTGATGTAACTTTTTATTATTTATTTAAGGGTAATATTTTGGTAATAAAGTATTTGCAGATTTGCTTAAAATTTTATTTATTTTGGTTTTATGTATTGTTTTCTTGTCTCTCTGCCGCGAGCAATAGCTAATTTTATTATATATATAGCAATAGCTAAAATTATAACTCTCCTTTCTGTTTCGCCGTAACAGTGAGATGAGTGAGATATATCCAAGCGCAGGAGATATTTGTACAAAAAACGTATTTGATTTTCACATTTGAAACATCTTGTCACTAATTATATAATGGAAATTAGAATTAAAATTAAGTTTATGTATGGGCAGGCATCTAGTCGAGACGCAGCCAATGTGACCCTCCAGTCCGCGGTGCTGGAGACAGGCGGCAGATACCGCTGCGAAGTGTCAGGGGAACGGCCGCTTTTCCTCACTGTGTCCGACCACGCGGACATGATCATTGTTGGTAAGTAAGCTGTAATATTTGGAGCATTTAGATGTATGTTTTATATGAAAGATTTTGTTCAATTAAAAAGTTAACTTTAATCGTAAAAAAAATGTATGAGACTATGAAAGTACGAGTAAATATTTTATCCGCAAAAGTAATTATCAAAATCAGCGTAGAATTAAATAGTGACATATAAACAGAAAATATAGTTGAACTGAAACTTTAAATTGGTATCAATAATACATAAAATGTCAATAACATTTTTATTTCCGTTAATTAAAGTTGAAAATGACCTGTATAACGTAGAAAAATCTGGGAAAAAGAACAACAAGCACAACTTAATAAAAAAAACTACCTTGACACTGTATGACTTAAGTATAGTTGCATAGCTGTCTATTGAACTTGATAATCGTTTACTTCGATAATTAACGAGACTGCAGTGAGCAATTAATCTTTAGCAGTTTCGCTTGGAAGTTTTAGAACTAAAAGCCAATATAATCGAAATCGATACCTCACATAGGTATTAAAATCGGATTATCAATACATAAAATGACGTCTCAATTGGAATTCATTTCGGTATTTCGATTTGCTAATTAGTAATATCAACTCTTATTCAAACTTGATTGTTCAAATTCGAATAATTTTTTTTTTGTTACTGCATATTATTTTTTACGGATTTATTTTCAAAAAGCTTGAATACTATACTTTTTTGCAAAGATATTTTAAAATGGAGGAAGTTCGTCTATGTTTATTTTCATGAATTTCGAATAGATTTTGATAATTCTTTTTTGATTGGTAAGCTTTACTTATTCCCGTGTTGATTCTATATTCATATATTTTCTATTATACTGTTCAAGAAATATTTTCAATTCATATAAGTACATGTCGTTATAATTTAAATAGCCTATATAAATAATATTAAAAATGATAGCAAAAATATTTGCAAAATGAATTTGAATAGTGCTTAACTGTACTGAATTATATTTACAAAACGTCGTAAATTAGTGTAAATTTACAGCATTGCCCGACCACGGACCAACGATAACAGGGTCGCGTCTGCGTTATCAAATTGGAGACAGGGTTCAAGTGAACTGCACATCGGGGAAGTCGCGACCGGCTACGCGGCTAGCTTGGTATATTAATGGTGAGCCGGCTCCCTCCCCGGCTGTTCTCCCCCCTACACACCAGATAACCGAGGATGGGCTAGAAATCACGAGCCTTGCGCTTGACTTTAAGGCCAAGCCAAAGCACTTTAGGAAAGGAGATCTTAAATTAAAAGTAAGTAACTTCGAAATCATTTTTATAAGTTTATTTTACATTACACTTAAAGAACCGATAATTTGTTATATTGTTATTTAACAATAAATATAGTTAAATTAGTAATCTTTATAATATCCATTAATAGGTACCGACTTTAAACGTATCCTAGTTTGTTATAAAATATACTTATATTTTAAAACAAAATGTAATTTTAGAAAAAGTTGTTAATATTAACCATATGTTATATAGTTATATATAAATCTGCCTTTTCACTCTCATTTATCATTGTAAATATATCAGTGCAGGCAGGGTTCCCATTCCATTGTCATCTATTAAAAAAATAGAGAATTTTGTTAGCACTGAGACTATTAGTATTCTTACTTCCCAGCACTAAGAATTATATGCTATTTATTATACAGAAATTTTGTAATACCAATTTTCGAGAACCCTATTCCGTAACTAAAACATCTAATTTATATAAAGTTCTAGCCTTTAAATATTGGAATATGTAGATTTTTTAAATATTTTGATGATATTGATTACGTTGACAAACTCAAAAGTTTGGAGGTAAAGCTCTTATCAATATATGAGTATGTTTTTTGCTTGTTCTGAAAGTTTGCAACTTTGGTATTTACAAACTTTCTTCCTCGAAGTATCTCTGTATTATATTATAACATATTAGGGCCGTATTTTTGGGGAACACTGTCTATATACTGTATTATATGCAAATTGTTTAGTATCTTTTTGTTTGAGTATCGTACATTGCGGGTCATATTCTTTAATCAAGACTTTATCAATCTTGGTGTAAGATAAAATATAGAAAAAGATTGATCTATATTAACACAATATTAATATAAATAGTATGATATTGGCCGTGTGTACCGGCATAGAATAGGCCACCCCTTTCTTTTCCATGAGTGTCGTAAGAGGCGACTAAGGGAACTTAATGGTCGGGGGATTGGCAAAAGCGTCTTTCTTAAAAAGCGTGGCAAATACTGGCAAAACTCCTCTTATTGGGAAGGTTCAGCTGTGAACAGTTAACGCCTGAAAATATATCACAGTATTAACTTATAATTAACTGACAGCTGTGCTTATATTCAACAGAGGAATAATATTATTTTTTAATATAATTGGACTAAAATACACTCGATACATTATTTTTAATTAGTATTCGTTTGAATTACTGTTTACATTGTGTTCACGTCGATTTTGTGAAGGTGTACAGCAACCAAAAATGCTTAACGTGTATCTTTAAAGTAGTAAAATATAAATTAAGTTTCAATATAACCTAAAACTTTTTGTTTGGCAGTGTTTGGCTACAATAGCAACGGTATATTGGCGAAGTAATGAGGAGAGTGTACAGGGGGAGCGCTTGAAAGGATACGCAAGATCCCGAGAGCTCAGTGAAGGTACCTCCCGTGCGGACCGGGTGCAGGCCGCGGTCAAGCCCGGTGGTTCCTCCACTGGACTCAGTGTCGCTTCACGTCTAGTTCTCTTGTGTACTTTGATCTTATACATGTTACCGACATGACTTCTTAATAATACAGTTTGTGATATGGTTCTATGAGTGTTAAAAGTTGTGATGGTTATATACTTTTGTTGTGATTGTGAAGTTCCAGGATTGAAACACGGTGAAAACTATTTGAATGAATATTTTAACATTTTGCTGGTTTTTATCTGCGCTTTTTGAATCGAGAATCCATTCCACATTAAGTCTTAAGTATCAAATGATCCATTTGTTATAATAACATTTAATTACTTATTACTAAACTTACCATTATTACCGAGGTACTTTAAAATTACAGATATAAACAGAGCTGGTGTTTATAATATTGTATATGTAATGCGTAATTTGCATATAATGTTGTTAAGGTTATATCAAATTATAGTTGTAAATTGTAGCTAAGTTTAAAATAAGATTATAATAATAAACAAAATGATTTATAAAAGCAAAACTTTAAATAGGAAAGGTGAAATCGAATGTCTTAAGATGCTTATTACAAGATTGTCTTGTAAATATTGTATTAATAAGATTATTCATTTATTTGGAAGCTGAGTAAAATTTAGAGCACTTATACATTGAATATGTAGCTATTGCTTCAAAGTTAGGTATTTATTTAGTAATTTATTTGGGCGTAATCTATAATTTATTTTGAGACTTGCCACAAAAAAGGGTTATTTATATAAATACAATACGCTAATTATTTCATATGGGTACAGGACAGTATTATAATTGTTCTTAGAACACAAAACATTACACCCAAAGAAATTTTTAAGAAATGTAACTTTAACAATATTATAACATATCATTTATATACAAGTTATATTCTTTACATGTATATGAGGCCGTGAATGTCACATTTTCTATAAAAATATATTTATATGTGCCATCAATTGTAATATAATTATAATGCTAATTTGTTTTCTATTGTTTAAATTATTTTTATTAAAATATGACCTCATTTATGTCCAAAGACGTATTGTTTACCAAAGTGCCGAAATTAATAATAGGTACATTTAATACAGTGACAAGGTTAGGTACTTGAATTTTTACCAATATAATCTAAATATTATTGCATTATTGAACTGTATGTTTACAGGACAAAAAAAAAATACAATCTAAAATTCAGTGACGGTATAAGTGCTAAAGTATAAAACACATCTTTCTAATTTATAAAAAAATCTCCGCGGTCAAATGTTGTAGTGAGATTTATTTTATTATTTTCATTTTTTGCATAATAATATATTCATGTTGAATGCCTATAGCGTTAGGTCACCCTTTTATATCACTTTTTATAAATAATAATACAATGTCATTTGTTTAAACAAACTATAATACAAGAACGGCGTTAATGACTTTTTAACGTAAAAGCAGATATAAGCAAATGGGAATTGTTTTAACATTAAGTAAACCATGGTTATATAATATATCATTAAAAAATATATATAATACTGTGTTATGTAAACCGGGGCATAGTAACCAAAGAATAATTGGCACAAGCCCTGTTAAGTTCGGAGCCATACTCATTTACCTACACGAGCACTTATTTGAATTTTCCACCAAAATTCGAGTTGATGGAGCAACTATTCCATTTTATGTATTAATAATTCAAGTCTTATGTATTATACCTCCAAAATGAAAAATAATTTTATTACGTTTACTTCTGTAAAGAATTCAGAACCTGACAAGTAACATATAATGTTACATATGCAAAATATACAAAAGTTTGTGAAATATTAAGAGTATTGTATGCATAATATATCAATAAACAGTCGGGCATATTATACCTTATAGGTTATGGATACTAATCGAATACCTATTACTATACTTACATGTTTTTTATATATTTTATGTTAATATATTTCTATTTACTATCTTTCTTCCGTATTTAATTTAATTTATCAAATATGATTTCCTTAGTTTATTTACTCTAATCTTCTTTGTTTTTGAGAAGATTAAATTAAATAGTAGAAAAAAATAATTCTTTAGTCTCCAGAAGTGGCAATGGATGATTGAACCATAGGTGTCACAGTATATTAAGTGCCATCCACGGTGCTAGTCATGTCTATATACGATGGATATCACTATTTACTAAGTAAGCCATTATAAGATGCATATTTTTTGTCTAATTTTGTTTGGACTATAAACAATTGTACAATTAATATTACAAAATTTATAAATCTCGAGTATATATAATCCTAGTTATACAAAATGTCAATATATATTTATATATGTATATTAATAAGGAATGTATTATGTATTTAAGTATGCGTAACACATATCATTATATTACAATAACTCCTGTCAAAATACGATAATGCCTCTATGTTTAAGTAAGCGTAGTATAAAGTGATAGGAGTTATAATTATTTTGTGTTGTGTAAATAACAGCATTGAAGAATTCTTTATTATAATTACCCAAATTATTCACGTCTCTGAAATTTGTTAATGAATAAACATATTTTATAATAGCAAAGTCATGTTTTTATCACTTTCTTTAAAATTAATAATTTATGTGAAAAAAGATACAAATTACTCCATTAAAAGTTTATTATATTACAATAAATTCTGTTTTATGAAGAAATTTATTAATTCCTTGGTTAATTATTATGTTTGTAAAACGTTTTAGCTGAGGTAAAAGCACACAATAAGTGACAGTTTAGTTTAGAAACTGTTCAACACTCGAGTGTTAAAAATGTTTTAAAAATATTACTCTTTATTTAATTTTATCTTCTTTCTATAAAAAAATAACAATGAAATGAGACATACTTAAATTTTAACAAAGCTCCGTCGCTACGAACTGATGGACGGACAGTATCTATTTTTGCATTGTCGCGTCGTTGAATAGTTCACTATATAATATAGTGATAGTAAAAATACTTTAGAAAAATTCATTATTTTCATTAATTAAATCATTTAAAAGTACCTTTTTATATACTTAGTGTATTTAAGTTTTTTACAAAAATAAAAGTGTATAGACATGCAGATTAGTACTCACGTATTGTTATCTAAAATTATTTTTTGTCTATTTTATATATAATATATTTATCATGTAGTAAGTATAAAAAGATTATAACTTTAATTGTGGATCCTATGAGTAGTTATAGCTTCTTATAATGTTGTATTAAACAATTACATATATTCATGTAAAATTTTCAAAGACAGGTCTTTATTCACCTTATGATTACTTTCAGGTTTTGTAATAAGACTTTGAATATCAATATCTATCAACAGAAAAAATGCTGGCTTAGATTATTGATTCCAAATTTAAAAAAAAAATATTGTAAAACTATTTCTTATTTTAAAAATTTTATTATAGTAAACATATGCAAATATACATTAGATAACTGGCTGTACGAGCGACGTGGTTACGTGAGAGCAAAGTGATTCCAGAGGCACTATAGGCATGTAGAGTTTGTGTAAATTTCTTGTAAATAGATTAAAACTCTTCACACAAATAGACAGATATCTTTAACTATAAAGAGAAATTAAATTACAGCTGAATAACCAATAAAATAAAAAGTAAAGCAAAAATCAAATTCTATAATTTTAATTTTAATAAATTATTCATTACATAAGTTTATACTAGATATGTTATGTGTATTACTCAGGATAACCCCGTACGAATTTTAAAGCTCGAACGCCAGTAGTTTTGTCTGTTCTCTGATCGCAATCACTTAGGATTCTTATTTGTACCGACTTGTGTAAGTATATAGTAATCTATAACAAAATGCAAATAGATTTACCGCCTTTTAAATTTTTCATGTACAATGTAATAATCAATGTTTTGTTTTTTTTTTGTAAAATATGGTAATTATTATACAATAAATTTAAATATCGTAAGGAAATGTATTATATTTATTTGCTACTCAATTTTTTCATCACTGTTACAAATTAGGAAAAAGTGAAAAACCAAAAGTGAAATTCCAACAAAAAAATTGCTGAAAAAAATATTATGTATAAATCCTAGTCAAAATTATTGTTACCCAATTACTGTATTATGGCTATATAGTAATTTTATTTGAATTATATTATTGCATACCATTTAATTTAGAATTGTTAAGTTTATTATATCTATTAAATACCGGTCAAATACCAAATTTTATTTGTACTTATTACGTATTTCTTCATTTAGTATAAACTATTAGTTAAATTTGTATAATTAATAAAACATTAAAGTTTTGTATGGTATTTGGTTATGTAAAACATTTTTTTTTTACTGAATTATAACAACAACAACTAAATAACTAAAACAGTTTGAACTAATAGACTTCATTGTACACTCCGTAAGTAAATAGGTACATTGTAATCGTTTCTATTGCACGAATTATTGAATTGTTTCTATTTATTACTGTATTTATTAGCTAATTAACTTAATTTCAAATATTATAATACAAGCTTGACTACTAAGTTGTAGTAAATAATATTTTTTCGATTAAAATAAATCTTTAAATATTTTAAATTTTAATAAAACAGTTGGTATAATAATGATTATAAATAAATTATAAATTTATTAGAATATTTTAGAAGATTCTTCAAATATGGCATTTATAATAAATTATTTGAACTTTATCTTACCGTGTTAAAGGAAGTATTGCGATTGTATAGTTTTTATAGTAATGGGTAAATGCGTTCGTTTGTCTTTGTCACATTGTACATAAAGTCTATCATATATTCTCTCTTTTAGTGATAAAGTTCAAAAGTGGTTACTCAAGAACAACGACTTTAATAATTCTTCTTATGTGTTTCTATATCTCTATATATGACTATATCTATTCTGTTATAATAGTATTATAGTATGTACCTAATCTATAGTTAGTAATTTCTTTTATCAATTTTGTATATATATATATATATATATATAGATTATTTAATCGAAAATATATTCTGACACGAAACCATAATGATGTTTACAGTTAGTATTCATGAAACTGAATTTTACCCAAGGAATATAGTTTAAAACTGAAAATAAGTTATAAAACTTTCTTATAAACCGCGATCGATTTATTATAAATTATTAATTTAGTATGATATAGTAGCTATCACCAAGTTTCTGGTTGATCCTACCTTATCCAACTAATCTTGTATGTATTATACATATTATATCAACTACACACGGCAACGTGTGATCCTTGGTAATTTAAAGTTATGCACAAGTTTGTTTTCGGAAACAAATAGAAGTCCAACATGCTTTCGACTAGGCTACAGTCAATTTGTATAATAGGTATTAATATAATAAATAAAATGGTTGGGTTTAAATTATGAAAAATTACGCTGTAATATTATTGGTTGACTGATTATATATAATTATGTAATATATACACATGCGTTCTTAGTAAAGTATTGAGAAATAAAATTCTTAAATTGAGTTTTAGTAAAATACCGATCTAAAATAAAATTGGTCAGATACGAGTTGAATTGAGTCGAGGCTGGCGTCGCCGCTATACGTATCTATCAGGCACACAATCCTACATGCCGAGTTGTTGAGATATAGCGCTGTGACGGACGGACGGACGAACAAAGTCACATCATAAAAGTCCTTTCTGCCTTTTTGGTACGAAATCCTAAAAAAGTAGGTTTTTCAATTTAATAAAAAAAAATTAAGTTTTATTTATTTATACTTTATTGCACTATTTATAAAATTAATTAAAACAGTTAATTTTAATGAGAACTGATACAAAAGGCGGCCTTAAGTTGGTATTTTACTAAACTTTATTTTGCCAAAAATTTTGAGTTGGGTCGATATTATAGTATCGTTCATAATTTATTGTGAGCCTCTTTCCTAATATGAGCTAATCTCTGAGAGTTCTATCCTATTATGAGCTAATTATCTAGACGCGATGTTTAGTGGCAAGTAAAGATTCTTATCATTTTTAGATAGGCAGTCATATTTTATAAATCTATTTTGAGAACAAATACACAATAACTGTCTCATGTCTGCAAATTAGTTCATTTTTAACTAGATAATTTCAGATTAGACTAAAAAATTATTTGATAATCTGGTTTAAATTTCCAACTTGCTTTTATTACGTGAGATTATCTCATTGATTATGTTGTTTAAATTATTTTATGTAGTTTTAAGTTATTTTATGTAGTACCTACAAGGTCATTTAGACAAAATAATCATGAACATCATTATCGGCACTTTTGGTAAATTATTTTTTAAGATCATTATACAGTTTATGGTCTTTAATTAATGTAAATGTATATAGATATTCATATAAATAAAACTAAAAGAAATTATATTGTGACGAAGTTAAAGTTGGTATTAGATAATAATTCATCTGAGGTTAGAACACTTTTTCTATAACCGCTTCTTGCTCACAATGTAGGCAAACCCATATTTTTGTAAGACAACATAATCAAGAGTTATTAATGCAATATACAATGTTCACAGTTTAAATCCAACATCCTATAAATTATTGTTCTAATATTTCATTCACTGTCGAGACGAAAATTCTAATAAAATATTAAATCACTTCGATGAATTTCAGAGACATATAGTATACATATTTTATACAACGAAGAACTTAAATAAATGACCCTAAAGTCAATTATCTAAGAAACTAATGAAAATGCATCACAGTGCGTAATATTATTTTTAAACTTATGCTTTATATTTATATATATATATATATATATATATATATATATATATATATATATATATATATATATATATATATATATATATATATATATATATATATATATGTATATGTATATTTATATGAACTTATTATGTTTGTCGTTTCCGATAATAGTTTTGTTTTTATTCAAAAGCGCCGTAAGCCCTGAAGAAGGCTTCCGAATGCAGTGGAAATAATTATCGGAAACAATAAAGATATTAAGTCTATAAAATTACTGTTCATGTTTGTAGATGACAGTTACCTCTTTTTTACGGTTTAACGAGATGTAATACAAAAGGCGTTATAGTGAATGTAGCCCAAAATTCTCCAAACATAATAGATATTATTTAACCATAATTATATATGTATTGATACTAACGTTATCCAGCTTCCTAACGTTATCGTTATCGTATAATAAGTTGGGAAAATTTTTGGTGTCAGTAAGATTTGAATTCACGACCGTAGAGATTATGAATCAGTCAGGATGGTAAAGTATGGAATGTAGTATGTACATTATAATTCCGCTATTTGACAGTAAAAAATAAACCTGAAGGTCTGAATTATCTAAATTTGAAAAGACCTCGTGTATTATGCAAAATGTTTTTACTTATTTTTGATGTTTGGACTAATTAAGAGCTGGTTTTCTTTTGATGTTCTTTAGAAATAACATTATTTTTACTTAATTACATACGTGATACATTCTATAATTATAAGGCATGAATATACTATAATTATCGAGTCTGACTTCAAAATATTTATGAGTAATTACTATTTTATAGATATTTCGATATAAAAAAACTATGCAGTTAAAATTGTTGCTTATTGTTATGAAGTATTTATAGTTAAGTATTAATATGTAAATAATGGGTAAATTGTGTAGCTCAAAATAAAAATAAACTTATGTGATCTACATACACGTAATGTTGTCACTTTTATTTTCTGTTCATGAACCCACTAGAATATGTTACTAATATACCACCCATTTCCTAATTCCTTTCAAAAAACGTCGTTATAATATTACTACATAAATAACAAGGTTTATGATGGAGCGGCGTTTGGAGGGTGTTTTTTTATAAACATTTTCACAAACGTTTCTACATCATTATCATATCAGCCTTTAACTGTCCACTGCAGGACATAAGCCTTCCCTTTGAGAAGTTTTGTCAGTAGTTGCCACGCTTGGCAGGCAGATTGGCAACCGCAGTCAGGCTTTAGAGATGTTTTAAGAGGGACGCTGTTGCCCATCTCTCGTCCGCCCTTAGTCGGCTTTTACGACACCCATGGGAAAAGAAAGGGTGGTCTATTCTAGACCAGGACCACACGACCAGTCTCTTGTTTACGGGATAATAAAACAATAGTACTGTTCTATAATCCATTTCAGAGTGCTAATAATGAACACCGAAACTAAACAGATGAAAGCGTCGGCTGCAGAAATTGGAAACAGTCTGTCGTGGAGGCTGCAAAACACTAAACGCGATAGTTATAGCGCGGTAAAATTATATATTTTCATAAAGCACCGAGAAAATATAAAGAATTGTAGAGTGGGATTTTGTTTAATAATATCATAGAATACAGGTGTATATGATGTATATATATTTTTTTATGTAGACTATACTGGTTCTTTTTCTTAGGAGCCAGTTATATTTCGTAGGACTCCAGTGTGTATTTCAACCGTAATATTTGGTCAATAGGTGTCCAATATTATGAATATAATAATTATCTAAAGCTTAGATTATATTAAGATTAGATTCTATGTCTACGATCTGAAGTAATATTAGACAAGGGTATATAAATTTGTGGAGGATAAAAATATCTTAGCGGCTTCACCAGTCTGCATGGCATAAAATGGATTTACAAGTATAGGTAATAGAACCTATATCAATTTATGGAGCTTGCATTTTCATTTTTACTAATATCACAATATAAGTAATAATATTATTTCATAGTATCAAATATTACATATGTGAAAGTGAGTTTGTTTGTTACCATTTGATGAATTAATAGATAAAATAATCATCATGAAATTTGGTATTCTCATACTTGGGATGCAATAAGATATAGTCTATTTATGATATCTTCGTGACTTACGCGACTAAAGTCGCGTGTTCAAAAATTAATATTACTTTGACTAACTTTTATTCACTTTTCCATTCCAACGTAAGTAAATAAGCTTTTAATGAAAATGACGTCCATGGTATTATGATATATCTACAGGCGAG